ACGTCACTAGACAGGCACAGATCCAGTCTGTGTGCTAGGCAGTGCACGAAGATTACCTATCATAGTGACAGCTGGCAAAACAAGAAAACTGCAGATGATCTGCAGCAGATCACCTGATATTGTGACGATTCACAGAACAAACGAGCCGCCTTCTTCATGGCACTGCATCCATCACTGGCCCAGCCGCAACATCTTTCAAGGGGAACCCCATCTCTTTCATATAACCCCAATAAAGCTGTGCATATGGACTCTGCCGTACCATCCGAGGCATGGATCAGATCCCACATGACTACTTCAATTCCCGCATCATGCACACATCTTGCCAGGATCACAAGCCATTCAGCTTCATCAGTCGTCGAGTCGAGTATGATGCAATGAGACGAAGAATCCCGGATGGTGGTCACATCCCTCGATAACAGAGCTATCTCGGCGGCATCAATGAATTCCCAGGCCGAATAAGTAGACGCATGATAATCAACATTGACTTCCGATTTTGATAGACTGTTCACGAGAGCTAGCAAACTCTTATATTTCCCGATAGCCACTTCTTCTCTCGCGAGCCAGAATGAACATCGGACAAGGTCTCTTTTGGAAATGCAACTGCTCGACTCTCGATGCTTGGGGCTTTGAATGTTGGATTGCCCAATATCCATCATTGTTTTCGCGGGCTGCTTCCAAGGCAACAGATCGAGCATGGATGTCATCCTTCTCATGAGCAACAACGTGGCTTTTCTGTAGCTTCGAATCAAACGTTCTCCATTTCCCCCAGACACCACAATCGGGATTCTTGGCGCAGATGCGACATCTATACTCATGCCCATCGAGACCAGCTTCGTACCATTCTAACCAAGGATGCAAAGATGTCCACTTTTTCAAACGCTCGCCGATGGATTCGCTCTGTCGGCCGCGAGGAGCCATTATGAGATGACAGGTTGCTAGAGGAATATTATATTCAGGGGCCTATTTCACAAGCGTCCTTAGATTAAGACGTCTTTACGTATAGGATTTTAACCTTAGGACGTCCTTACCTAACTAAGGCTATTTCACAAGATTTTCCTTACCTAACGTTAGGATCCTATACTTAAAGACGTCCTTACCTAACGTAAGGATGTGCTAACTGAGGATATTAGGACTCCTAACGGCAATTAAACACAACGTAAAACATTATACAACTACGAATCGAACCTGGATCGGTCGAACAACAGCCGCAAACTCTACCACCCCACCATTTTATACTTGATATAAACTAAATAAGAATCCGACAAAGATAGTGCCACAAGGCGCCATTCAGCAGATTTAACAGATAAAACCTCTTTTATTATCAACTGATACGCGTAATGAATGATCCAGTAATGGACCATTATGGGCCTTAACGTCTTCTGATATGGAGGGGTCTTGCAGTAAAAAAAGGCTTGACTCTACCGAAGATTAGCATTTGTGAGGAGTTTCATACGAAGTTTATAAGCTTCAGATAAGTATCGAACTTGGTAAAGAGTTTTGTTAATAGTTGTAAGATTTTTGTGCAAGTTACAAATTAATTTAAAAATGTGCTCGCAGAGTTTCGAACCAACGACTGTTTGGCGGAACGTAGCGAGTCGTCTTGTACACCTTTAACGTTAGGATGGTCGGTAAAGTACCCCCCCGAGGTACTTTACCATTAGGATGAAAATTTCCTTAAAAATATAGCTTGTGAAAGCCGAGCGTCCTAACAGCCTGTTTTTGAGGATAAAGGCATCCTAAAATCCTAAATCCTAACGGTAAGGATCCTAATGTCCTAAAGTCCTAACCCAACCTAAGGAAAGGGCCCTTGTGAACGCCATTTATCCTTAAATTGCATCCTAATGAGTTAAAATCCTAACATTAGGACGCTTGTGAAATAGGCCCCTGGGGCCTATTTCACCAAGCGGGTCGGGTCGGGCTCAAGGATCATCCTTACCGACCTGCGCACGCGTGCAGCCTGCGAAATTCACGAAGTCTGTACGCGTGAGCACACTGCACAGAATGTGGTTCTTCTCTACCAATACTCTAAAACTTCGGAACGCATCTTCAAGTTTTAAAAAAACTGGCCTGGATTTCGAAAAAACTTCCAAATCTTAGTCAAAACCCGCTTATAAAATACCCTACCATCAGTTATGAACCACTTGTTAATAACTCTTGTTGAGTTATCTCATCCTAACACTGTTGGAAACGCTCTCAGAATCGCTCAGAAGCTCCTTTGAACGCGCTAAGAACCACTTCTGGAGACGCTTCTGAGGTCGTTCCCAAAGCTGGTTATATAAATAGAAAATCCCAGAGTCGTTTTCAAAATCATGTAGCACTGGTTTGATGATACTCATCCCTCCACTTCGCTCCGCCGACACAATTATGTGATAGTGGAGACAATAGTAGCTGGCGTCTAGCCTAGCTATTCTACCCCCTTCACTTGATAATTTCTATAAGTAAAGCTTCCCATAAGCTGGTTCTACTTGTTTTATCAATCCCTGAAGCTCAGGGACACTGCTAGATGTGTATCGCGAGCATCAATGGCGCTCGCCACAGTACTCTCATTCAGTCTACTGTTAATGAAACTATTATGCATAAAACTGCTTGCCGAAATCTGTAGCATTGACGATGATTAAGATTCGCCACTTACCTGGTTGTGTTATCCGACATGACAACCCCTTTGGGAATGGGAAACAACAAACGCTTCTCATATTTAATATCGGTCCATTGGGAGTTTAACCACGCTACGATTCCACACAGAGATTTCGTCACTCGCCAGGAAATTATATGACTTTTGTAGGAATGCACTGGGGTGAGGTTCAGTAGACCTGTTTTGAGTTCTAAGAGCGCACCCAAGATCGAGTTTTACATGTGATATCTAATCCTAGATGAGCTCTTGAAGGTCTATTGAACCCGCCGCACATAATATTTCAGTGTAATAAAATTGTTATTAACGTAGTGCTAACCTTATTCGCGTTTTCCTATATAATTCTTCTACTCGAACAAACATACATAGGAGTGATTGCTATTGGTTTTTGTTGTAGATCCCCGCTCATAGAAACTATGAATAGGTAGTCGAGCAGTTCAGCAGGATCGTTTCTGTTGCAGGAATGGGTAACTCTTTTCTTTTCGTTGTGCATGTTCTGTACAGGAAGTGGTCATTCACGAGAGTTTTCCGTTTATTGGAGTTTCACCCGTTTTACGCGAAGTGGCGTAAAACTCGGTGAAAAACGCGATATTTACGCTATGCAGTATACTTTTCACTAGTGGTTTTTCATATCATGAAACTCTAATGAATAGTATTTATGATATTTCCAGTATTGTTATATTACTCTCGCGTTTATATACTCATAATGACTTCCTGGTTCGACAACAAGACCTTCAGAAACCTCAAGGAAAAGGTAAGTACAGCGGCTTCGATTAGTTGTGAATTCCTCAACTAATGAAATCTAATAAAAATTATTAATAACGTTCATACGTCATACGTTGGAGTTTCACCCTAGTGTTATGATAAACACTAGTGAAAAACATATTTTACGACCACTGCATATCACCGCGAGAATCGCACCTTTTTTACCGAGTTTTACGCCACTTCACGTAAAACAGGTGAAATTCCATTGATATGAAAAACACTAGTGGAAAAAATATCTCACTTCATACCGCGAATATTCGCGGTGAGCTTTTTCAAAGTAAAACGGGTGAAACTCCATTGTAAATTACAACATGTGCTATGATACTTCTGTGTATCGTACTGGATTGGCGTAATACTCCATGTGAAAAACGCGATATGGAGTGAATTGAAAACACTTGGCGAATCACCCCATATCACGGGAAATACATACCACGTGTTTTACGCGTTATTCACTGCTCACATGCGTTTTTCCGGAAAGAGAAATGTTAGTGTTTTTCATATCACTAGAGTGGTTAAAACGTAGACGTATACTGGAGTTTCACAACCCGTTTTACGTGAAGTGGCGTAATACTCTGTGAAAACCCCGATATGCAGTAGTCGTGAAATATATTTTTCTGTAGTGCTTTTTCATATCACTAGGAAGGTGAAACTCAACTGTGTGTGTTTTATTTCAGATGTTCGGCGTTAAGGAATTCAGCGAAGATCCCTTGACAACTGAGAGAAAAAATTTGATAGACTACAACTCAAAATTGTTGGTAATTTTTTTCCGCAATTTTTGTCCGAATTTTACATTTTTTTCCTCAGCAACTTTCGTCAGAAGTTGATCATTTAATCACAGATCAGCACAGAATGAATGCCAAATACATCAACATTGCGCGATTTGTTCGAGAGGCGGCTGATCCAAAGAGTTCTACTGCTACTGAATCGACAACTGCAGCACAGGTTTGGATTTTTTTACTAAAATTTGTGAACATTTTTGATAATTTTTTCAGGGAATTTCCCCGGCATTCGCGTTGTTCTCACAACAAATGTCGCAATATAATCACAGCGGTGAAAATTCTCTTGGAGCGATCGAAAAAGCGAAGACCAAGATCGATCGACTTGATAGTAGAATCAAAACATTGAGAGTAATAAGTTCAAGTGTTGGAGTAGGAGTATATGTTTGCTCTCCTGAGCTGAGGTGAGGAGAGCAAACATACAAATTTGAGTAGAAGTGTACAGAGACCAACAAGAAATTGTCTAAATTTTCATAATGTCATCACCAACACAGGTAGTTGACCATGTGCATATTTTACCACACAATGAATAATTGATACACATAATGGAGTTTTACCCGTTCTACGTGAAGTGGTGTAATACTCTGTGAAAAAGGCGCGATATTCGCGGTGATATGCAGTAGTCGTAAAATACTTTTTTCACTAATGTTTTTCATATCACCGGTGAACCTTCATTTATTTTCACAAGTGTGTTTTCAGGCCGATCTGACTGACCGCGATCGAGCACACGCGCTATTGACACATTATGAAGTGAAAACCACAGGTCTGCAGAAAAAATATCAAGAAAAAGTGGAAAATGGAAACAAATCCGAGTCGGCTAAGGAGAATCTAGATAGAGTAAGTATGCAGTGTTGGAGGAATATATGTTTGCTTTACTCACCTGAGGGGAAGAGTTTTCTCAAGAATTATAAGAGTTGGGGTAGAAGTGTACAGAAATCAACAAGAATTTTTCGGAATTTTCGCAGAATTTTCGCAGAATTTTCATATTATCACCAACACATGTAGTTGATGACCATGTACATATTTTTCCACTCAAAAATCTACGCACGAATTGGAGTGAAAATGTATAAAGACAAATAAGAATTTCCTCCAAAATTTCCTCCCAGCATTTTCACCAATACATGTAGTTGACCGCCATGTACAGATTTTTTTCCCGAAATAGAATTGGTTTTTGCTCAGAATTTGGTAAAGTTTAGAGAAGCTCAGGAGAACTGTGATCGCCTTGATAAAAGCGTCAAAAAGGATATTACAAATATTCTCGGCAACAGACAAAGGGACGTTGGAGAAATCGTTGAAGCGGTAGGAAATAATATGTTGTTCATTGGAGTTTCATATTTCACTTGGCAAAAAACGCATGTGAGCAGAGAATAACGCGTTAAACACGTCTTGTATTTCACGGTGTTTTCAATTTACTTCGTATCGCGTTTTTTCACGTGGAAAATTACGCCACTTCACGAAAAATGGGTTGTGAACCTTCGATATTATGTTGTATACATTACTATTAGTATCAAAATGCGGTTTTATTATATATATACATTCTCTCGAGCATTTCGCAGGCCAAGTGAATTCACAAAGATTTTCACTCAAAGTTTGATTGAATTTTCTACTAATTTCAGTTGTCTCGATATTTCGCATCGACAGTAACGCAAAACGAAGGTTGTGTCGAAGCGCTAACACAGTCTATACCAAATATGGTGGCGAAGCTCTCGATACCTTCTACCTTGACAACACTAGAAGCTACTCCCGTGGTTGAGGCAACTGCTGTTGTTATTCCAAAAGTGAAAACACCACAAAGTGCAATCATCACTCAGAAAGGAGTAGAACTGTCTACGGAGGAGTAAGTGGGAAGTGTGTTCTCGCTCGCCCTGATACGCTCGTCAGTGTGAGTATTATAAAATTATAAAACTATGGGTATCAGCGTCGTTGACTAGGTGTTTTGGTGACAATATTAAGAATCTGAGGAAATCTGAGCGAGTTCTTTCATTGGAGTTTAACCCGTTTCACGTGATATTCGCGGTGATATGCAGTAGTCGTGAAATATATTTTCTCACTAGTGTGTTTTTGCATATCACTAGAGTGAAACTCCATTGCACTGTGTTCAGTGTCCTTCTATTATCAATTTAATTTTTATTGGTTTTTGTACCACTGCATGTCAACTTTCTTTTAGTAGCTTTGGAATTTCCTGAACTCAGCTGAAATTCCAACACTGATGAGAATACTACTATGAAAATTATAATTTTTGAAATTATCGATTTGTGGCATTCATAGGCATGCAACTGAGCCGCTGCTCCCGCGTGATGACACCCCCGAAACAAAATATGCAAACGAAGTCCGCACTGCACCGGTAAGCTGGCTTGGGTATGGCGACTAAGTCTTCTGTGTGGAGGAGCTCGGTGAATCTATAATACTACACGCAGGAATGTGATTTATAGGGTATTGGATTCGATCCTGGGTGCTCTGGATGACGGGTTGGAGTCTTAACCTACTGAGCTAGAGAGAGGTTTTTCGTGGAAAAGCCGACTTTCTTGACTCGGGTGTGATAATTTCAAACCGTCGAATGTCCATATTTTTAAAATGAGAAATAATTTTGTTCGTCGTCGTCGAAGTCGTTTTACTTTTTGAATCAGAAATAGTGACATGCACGCACGCACATATGAGCTCTGCTCGCTCCGTAATAACTTTCTCGGAAACTTTTGAATTCAGAGAAATATCTCAAGTATGCGAATCTGCGAATTGACGTCGAAAATGATATCTTTAATTTTCTAGGTGAGAATAGAGGGCGAAGCGAATGCGTATGTGAGCACTTTTGAAGAGCATGTACGCAAACCGAAAGGAGCTGGAGTTATTGGGAGTTCACCCGAAAGCTATTCTCAGCTGCAGTGATTTATCTATAGTGGAATCGTCCGAGTTTGAGGATTTTGTACGACTCATTTCTGTTGTTGTTGTTGATAACGGTCTCCAGTGTTGTAGATTGCTATCTGCTTTGCGTTAGTGAAATCAACTATGGAATTAGGGTAGATGGAATAGGGCTAGCCGGCACAAACAGCAGTGTGGGGGGGATATGCACATGGTCAACTACATGTTTTGGTGATTACCATATCGAAATATCGAGGAACTTTTACGTGAATTCATGTGTAAGTTTTCATCATGAAAGCAAACATATATTCCTACTCCAACACTGATAGCGACAGAAGTCTTCTAATCTTTGTTTAGTGTTTTCCATTTCAGTCGAAATTATAATTTTGTGTTATTCAATGTGTGACGAGAAGAGTGCTCCAACTTCGCAGTGATGACCCTATTCGGAGGGGAACATTTTTAGCAGTGTTATTAGAAATGGTGGAGACTTCTATAGTGTCTTGGGCAACAGGAAGGCTCCTTCATTCGGATGCTATACTGTTTTATGAAGGTCGATGGCTAAATGATATGTGTATTCTCTACTATTTCGATGTGATCTTATATGAGAAGTATAGCAAACATTCCGGATGGGACCAAGTCTTGTTGCTTGACCCGTGCACTGCTTTCGCTATCCGATTCGAAGAGGACGAGGACGACTTAGCCCAACTCGTTGATGGTCTCAAACTTGCACAGAGGCGGTGCCTTATTGTCCCAATTAACGACAGCGATGACCCGACGTTACCGTGTGGGGGTTCTCACTGGTCTCTATTGGTTCTATCTCGTACCGCTCCATTGAAGCCCTGGGCGGGTGTGTACTACGACTCGGCTCCTGGACGAGAGATGCCAGGGTGGGTGAATTCTGTTGGTAGGAAACTCACTGGTGTTGGTGATATTAAGACCACTGTTGGTGAATGCAGCAAACAGACCAACTGCAGCGATTGTGGCATGTATGTTCTTGAGTTTGCTGAGAGAGTTCTCCGGATGTTTCTGGAAGACGTTGAAATGAGTCTACTCGACATCACTAGTAGTGATTCACTACTAATGACATCTCGGCTTTACGTAGATCAGTGCTTGCAAGCATTCGTAAGAATAATCAAGTATCTCTTTGAATGAGAACTTCTATTTACGTTTGTTGTGTTAATAGCCAACTCATGACAATTCCTAACCGACAACCTATTCGAACCCGGAAGTAAATGAAGTCTTCACCCAGCAAGGATTAAGAACTGGAGTCCCACCGGGTTTCTCCAGTGTTTCCACCTGATGAATATTTCCCCTTTGACTCTCTCGAGGGCATTCGACTTCCAATTTCAAAGACGCCCTTAATCTGTATGGATGAAATTTGTTGTGGGGAAAGGGCCCCTGGGACCTAGTGGTCCACATTGCCGACATGACGCTTCGTGATGGGACGTTAGAAACTGTCCGAACTCAACAAAAGGAGAATGCCCGTGACATCCCGTAATAATACAAAAATAAAGAGAAAGTGCCATTTGGACTCAAAAGAAGAAATACTTAGTCTCATGATCTCTTTCATAAACTTAACCCTCTCCCTAAGAACCTGAATCGTCGTAAAAAGGGGCCATCCGGCCATAGCGAGATCGATCTGTTGAGCATGAGTACGCGTGCACAAGCACGCATGCGCAACGAAAAAGGGAGCCGCCCCACATGTAGCGACACGGTTTCCTCCCCTGCAGACTCTCGATTAGAAGCTATCGACGACGGACTCGCGTGCAACCCAACATCGCTTTCTCTACTAGGACTCGTATCCATATCGGAGTAATAGTGACGGAATAGACCGAAGATTAAGATCCAAATAAGAACCCCTGAAGTACGTAAGATACTCGAAATGTAACGAGCTGCAAAAATACGGACTTCCCGATTAACGTCACAGATCAGAACCGAACATCGGACGCGTCACAGACATATCTTGTAATCTCATAAGTTCTTGACTATTTCTCAATAAGTCTGATAATGAGTATACGAAAGAGAAAAGTAGACAGGATCAATCACGAATCCTCGTCTAAATAAGCGACAAGTATAGCAGAGTTGTCAAGCCTCGAGAAATCATCATCACATTATTCGCCCCCTTTTTGCCAAACAATCTTGGCAAAACCATTCATCCGCCAAAATCGCATCTGAGTCCTCGCTCAAACCAAGACAGGAAATATGGAACCATTGATTACAGCCATCGCAGGCAACCATAACCATATCATCACGAAGATCTTGGCAGAGTGGACAAACATTGGACTCCGGATTCGCAGGACCATCGTATTTCCGCAAGCGACTTGCATGGAATACTGCACTGCGTCCTTGACCAGTAGAAGTTAAACTTAGACGATAGCATGGATCCCCAACAGCCTCG